CAGAAGTCCCTCCATATCTCAGGAATCTCTGGGGCCCTAGCTGGTGCGCTGGGCGGCTGACCCGGGAGTGCTCCTGCTGCCTCCGATCTCTGCCTTTCTTGCTGCTGCTCCGGGAGTTCCCCTGCTGCCTCCAACCTCTGCCTCTCCTGCCATATCTCATCTATCCGCCTGGTTCGTCTTGCCCTCTTTTCTTCAGCCGTCTCTCCAGCTGGCACCCTTTCCCTCGTGCGGAGGTCGACCCTCTTTGGGATTTCTGCTTCCATTTTCTTCTCGGGCTGGCATGACTCCTGACGTGGCTCTGCAGGTGCTGGCTCCTCCAGGTCTGGGTGCTCCAGGGCATGAGCTGCTAGGTGCCTATCAATCAGGATCAAAGCTTCTCTCCTTACAGCTGCCCTCTCTTCTGGCGAAGGAGCCTTTTCTGACGAAGGTAAAGGGGTCTCCTTTCTCTACAACCCCTTATTTGCCGGCCGGGTAGTACCCCGGACCTCTTCTTGTGGTACCTCCTCTCGTGGCACCTCCTTTGCCTGCTCTCCATGCCCCTCACCCTGAAGCGACGCCCTCCACCGAGAAATATCTAAATGCATCTCCAATTCCCTCAAGGGCCCCTCTGACGCTGGTGGCTCCCCCTGTGTGTGTGCTGGCGACCTCCTCAATCCACCCTCAGTAAAACGATGGAACTCCACTGGCCCCAACCCACACTCAGGGTATGCCCCTCGCTCCTCATCCTCTGGCTCCTGCTCTCTCCTGGCTAGGGCCTTCCGTCCTCCTCGAGATGGTCTCTCCCTGGGCTCAGGGTCCCTCGGCCTCTGACTCCTCTGCCGCCTCTCGACTCTGGGCTGAGGGAGCTCTGGCCGTCGAAAGGCCTCTCTCAAATGTGCCCTGCAGCTTTCCCAATCTCGTGCCATGTCCCTGATCTGCATAGTCAGTGGCCTTTCCGCCTTCCTGGTCCAAAGTGGTAGTGTCTGCATCCAATCATCTCTCTGTATGCCTTGCTCTTGCATGAACCACTCAAATGCGGGGATGAAGTCCGACGCATTTCCAATCTCCAGGCGGATCGGCCTGCCATCAGGTTCCACAGGCGAGGGTCGCAACTCCTCCATCCTTATCTCCACCTCCTGCCTCGTCGTCGCCTCCCTACGAATCCTGGCAATGGGCTCTTCGAACCTACCTGCTCCCCTCAATCTCTCAATCGCTTAAGTGACTGTCCAACCCATACGCCTCGCATGCTCCCAGAAACTGTCCAGGAATAGCTCGATGTCCCCATCATTGTAGACTGGAGTACTCTCTCGTTGGCGAGGCCCATGCCGCTCATATCCTCCTGATGCGCCCAACGGCCTCTGAGGCGGCCGCGTCCCCTTCCCTCCTCTTGGCATGGCTGTCTTCGTAAAGTCAGACCTGCACAACAGGCGAAGGAGACAACAGGCACACGTTGGGATAAGCAAGCAGGTGATAATCAGAGCAAGCTCAGACCAGACCACACTTATGCAACATGCATCCTTCCTAACCTACACACCCTGTTACTTCTATTCTAGGGGCGGCCAGGTCATCTCTCTTACCTCTTCTCTCGCCACGAATTTCTTCAGTCGCGTTTCAGATACCCAATCCTTCCACTCAGTCCCATTTAACTCCTCGATCTGGTACGCTCCGAAGTCTCCGACCCGTGCAATTCGGTAGGGACCTAACCATCTCTTATCGAGCTTCCTTGACCACTGCTTCTCCAGCGATGTATCGTATCGAAGCACGACATCCCCGACTGCCAAGGGTACTTTCCTTACTCGCGCAAACTGATCCCATCGAGCCTTATTATCCATACGGCTTTTCGCCACCTGGTCAGATGCCTCCTGGATCCTCTCTTCTATTGCCCCAACCTGCCGCGCCCGAATATCGAGCAACTCTTCAAATGACAGGTTAACTTCCAGATCCTGGCGCCTCCACGTCTTAAGAAAGCTTTCGATAGGGAAGGTGACATGCCTTCCGTACCACAGCGTCGCAGGTGCGTACTTGGTGGATCTCTTTACTGTAATGTTCCCGACAAAGAAAGCCGCCCTTAGGTATCTTGGCCATTGATTAGGCCTACCTTCGGTCCATTTGGCTCGGAGGTTCGTAATGGTACTATGTCCTCTCTCTACGGGAGCATTTGCCTTGGGGTGCGCGGCCGTGGTGTAGTTGGCTGCCACACCATATCTTGCTAACAGTTTTTGCACCTCCTGGCAGGTAAACTCTGATCCCCTGTCCATTACGAATTCCCTGACGAAAGGATAACGCATGTAGTACTCCTCGATGCAGCTCACCAGGACTGACCCGGTCTTTGTGCGAATAGCACGCCCGTCCACGAACCCAGACAGGTTATCGCGCGCATCGAAGATATAGTTATAGCCCTGATCCCCAAGTGGCATAAAAAGCAGATCGAGATGCACTACGGCCCCTACCTCTCGTTCTAACCTTAGATGCAGCAGCTCTCCCTGCCTTAAACGGGATCTCTCTTGGCAGGGTACGCAAAATCGACAGAATTTTCCGACCATGTCCATCATTCCATCCCAGTAGTACAACTCACTTATCTTGGCATACGTGGCTTGTACCCCTCAATGCCCTCCTGCAATGCCATCGTGTAGTGCTGCTACGACGTCGATCTGACGATTCCTCCCGCAGACGACCCTCCTGGGATTCCCCACTTCCCTTCTTACGAAAAGGTGACCGTCTCGCACTAAGTAGCGTTGCAGCATCCTTTGAGCCCAATCGCTCGCATCTCTTAGCCGCATTTCACATGACAGAAGAAGCCCCAGCTCTAGGTAAATCCCGTCGTACTCCTCTGCACGAAAAGCCTCCTTAATTTTCCCTTCTTCGAACTCGTCGTCCTGGCTCTCGGGTATTTCGTCCACATTCCCTGTCGGGTTCAACGAGTCTGACTGGTCTAGGATTTCCTGCAATAACGTATTGACGAGGAGATACATTCCTCCCATCAAGTCCTCATGTCGTTTTACCTGGCCAGGTCCTTCCTTAATCGTCCTCATATCCTCCACCAGGCTATGCGAGCTGGCCAGCGCTAATTCCATCATCCACTGAACATCCTTACCGCCCCAGGGATCCTCTTCTTTAAAGGGCTTAAGGACTAACTCATTCCTCCTTTCATACCCCTTCGGCGCTTGCCAAATAGGATAACCTACACAGTTAGGCACTCGCGGCGACCATTTGTTGATATGAAGACGAACATCTTCTTCCTGATCCAAAAATCCATCAACTGGGGGCGTATTCTCCACCGCCTCCCCTTCCTGCTTATCCCAGTTGATCCGACTCAGCCCGTCTGCCCGGTTCTTACTACCAGAAATCCGTTCCAATTCGAAATTGAACATCCAGATGTACTTCAGCCATCTGGCAATCGTCGGATCCGATGGAACGTAATTCCTTAGAGAGTAGGTGAGGGCGGTCGGATCCACTCTCAAAATAAACCTCCTGCCGAAGATATAGTTCCGGAAGATTTGCAGACAATGAAGGACAGCAAGGGTCTCCCTCTTGAACTGAGAGTAGTTTCTCTCCGTCGTACAGAGAGTCCGACTCTCAAATCGCAAGGGTCTTTCCTT